TTTTGTTCAAGCTACTGCGGCATATTGCCTTGCTGATAGTTCTGCTCCTCCAGCAGTTCGCTTAGCTTTTGGAGCAGCGCATTGATCCCAATGATATTGGCATTCATATCGGGCATGATACGAATATCACTCTTGGATGACTCCTCCTCCTGTTGCTCCTGCGTGGGCATCTCGCCGACCACCTCGTTTATATAGTCCATGGTCTCCTTGATCTTCATGCAGTGGCTGCTTGTAGTAAAACATTGTGTTAATGGATAAATAACTAACTATGTATATACAGTGAAAACTCTTTGAAACGGACAGAGACAATTGGGTTATTTCTGTCCGCTTAAAAGGAGTCCGTTGTATGGGTATGTATTTTGGATGATTCATCAAAATTTGACTAAAAATGTCCGCCCAAAAGGGTTGTCCGGCTAATCTAATTGTTCGTTATAAGAATTTTCACTGTATGTACAATTATGTTGCGCTTTTGGAAATTTTCCCCTGCAAGGGTGGAAAATAGGTGAAAATGGGTTGTAGAAAAACTCTTTGTTCACTGCCGATTGGCTTTTAACTAATTCCCTACGATGTTTGTAAAAGCCGTGTTTCACACTTTTTCGAAAATCCACTGGCTTAGGTGGAATGTGGGAAAGGGTCAATATGAAATTTTTGTAAAAAACCTTGATTATAATTTTTCTTTTTTCTGTTGATTGACTCCAAGTCTTTGTTTGTTCTTGAAAGCATCTATATAAAATATTAATTTAGACGATTGTGGAAATTAAAATTCTCTGGTTGAATACGGGGGGGGCACTCCAGATAGAATTTTAATTTCGCACGAGCCAAAAACAATAATAATGAATACCCAGTTTGCCGGATTGGTATATAAACGTACCATTTGGGCAGCGTATAATCGTTGGCGGTGATATGCTGGCACTTGCAGCTGTCCAGATGCCAAGCGAGTGATAACACTTGCAGCTTCCCCTGGGACCTTTCCAATTTGGTGGCACGCTGCGGCAATACCACAGGCAACTCCTCCATGTGCCAGGTATGCAGCTGGCTTTGCTCGTGTTCGCTCGTATTCGCCGAAACGGAGGGCTCCTCGATGTGCTTCACTTCGATGAATGCGTATTCGTCAAGTCCAACAGTTAAAAGCAAATTACATAAAGAAGGCGTCTTTCTGATGCTGCCGCCCATTCCGAAATGGCGTTTGAGAAAGCCGACAGCCTGGCTGTCACAGTCCTGACAGCAGCGACAATTGGTGTTGGCTTTGCTGCTGAAAACAAATCCGGACGGATTGTTCATGACAAAGCGCGTGGAATAGTCGGCATACGAGATATGCGTCTGACTGTGAACGGAATAGAGGATGATTTCAGATGAAACAAGCTTAAAGATCACCGCACTCACTCACCACTTGTCAATGTTAACATTCAATTTGGTGATGCGTCCAAGGGGCATGGCCGCTTAATAAGTAATTTGCTTCCGTAACTGAAATCCGAGCGAATTTTTACAAATAATTACAAAAAGAGAAGAAAAAAAAAACGAAAACAAATACGAAACTAATCTCACTGGCTACTAAAAAAAAAAAAAAAAATATTAACTTAAAATTTATAGAGGGAAATAGAGAGCTCTGATTGCTTCGCTAGTTATTGTAGTATGCCTCCGAGTCCAGGCGCTGCTGATAGGCCAGGCGCTGCAATATGGTCGGATGCGTGTGATGCCAGCGTGCATAGCAGCTGTCGTAGACTGGAAAGCTCATGTGATCCGCATAGATCTTGATCAGCGCCAGGCGCAGCTGCATGGAGTAGCCCAATCGGTGGGCAAAGCGATCCGCTGCATACTCGAAGCGGCGCAAATTCCACAACATCAGAAAATTGGCCAGCGTCAGGTATGGCGTCATCGCAAAGCGCAGCACAATAATGAAGCCGACAATAATTGGACACAGGCCCGGCACAAATCCGACTGCCTGATACAGCTGCGGGCAGTGGAAGAGCAGGCCGAACAGCACCATGGTCAGCAGGAAATGCACCTTCATTATTAATGTGGCCTTATAGAAATGTCCCTTCCTCCAATGCCCCAGCTCATGGGCAACAACGGCCACCACCTGTGGATTGCTGAGGCCGCGTCCCACCTCGTACGGCTGCAGCTCCTGGATGGGCAGACCCTTATTATAAAGCAGCGTATCGAAGATGACAATGCGCTTCAGGCAGCAGCTGCCATAAAAATAGGCATTGCTATACTGCATCGATTTGGTTCTGATAATGAAGACACGGGACATGGGAAATCCGGTCACATCACAGACTTGTTTGATATCCGCATAGAGGGTGGTGCCCGGCGGCAGGCGACGCTGATGGCCAATGCATGGAATGCATAGATAGGGCAGAAAGAAGACCAAAAATATCGTGAACAGCGCCCACAATACCCAGAAATATAGAAAAAAAAAATAGCCAAGCGATTGGACACTAAACACAATCAGCAGGGTCAAAGGTGCAAGTATGATCTGTGACAGGACAATGGACAATAGGCCCATGCAAAAGTATATATAACAGGGGAAACGATGCTGTGTCCCGTAGCGCAGCTCCAATATGCACTTGTCGTAGAGCAGGACGGGCAGGCAACGCAGCGTTATATAGATGGTCAAGTAGAAGACAAAGATCAGGCTAATCCAAATCTCTTGGCTGGTCAGGCTGGACAGTGTGCTGGTGGCCAGGCCCCAGACAAACGGATAGAAGCCAAAATACAATTCCAATAAACTAATTATCATATCGATGACATGCTTCCAGATGAACAACTCCATTTTGTGCAGCTCATAGATGCGGGCGCGATGATAGATTTCTGGCGGTATTATGCCACGCAGCTCCTCCGGCACCAGAATGGCGCCCAGGCAGGTCAGTTGCTACTGGACGAAAATGCGTTTAGGGAATCGGTGAGAATTTGGCGATAAGTAGCACACATCAATGGCAACTCACCTGTCGCTTGGCCAAGATTATTTCCCATATGTGATCAATGAATAACACCAGCATCAGTATATAAAGCAGATGGCGCGGTTCTAGCTTCGGCCAAGAGTCGTAGAATACCATCGCTCAGGATAAGATCATGTTTCCAAAACAAACAACAATAATGACAAAGAAAACAATCAACAATGAAGATAGCACACATATACGAGTATGTCAATGTATGTGTATATATTTATACTCGAAAAATGGCAGCCAAATGGCAGATAACAGATGTATGCGAAGCTACTTTGTTCAGGATCTGGACGCCTCGAGCTGTTCCAAGCGCCCCAGACGATGCAGCATTGTTGGGTGCGTATGATGCCAACTGGAATAGCAGCCGTCCGATATCGGAAATGATAAGTTATCCGCATAGAGCTTGAGCAGCGCATGCCTCAGATGGGTGGCATGGCCCAGCTTGAAGGCAAACTTATCTGCCTGATATTCAAATTGGCGCGTCATCGTTAGCATTAGCACATTCGAGATGGTAAAATATGGTGTCAGCACAAATCCAAAAATGATGACAAATCCGGCAATGATTGGCTGTACGCCCGGCTCAAAGCCAACCGCCTGATAGATGGGTCCATGGGGAAAACAGATGATAAAGAGCAGAAGGGTCAGCAATAAATGCACTTGGAACATCACAATGGCCTTGTAGAAGTGCCCATTCTTCCAGTGGCCCAGCTCGTGGGCAACTACAGCGACCACCTGCGCATTGGTCAGGCCCTTGCCCTGGTCTTCCGCCGGCATCTGGGCGGGACTGTGCCGGCCACGATTCAACAGCAGCGTATCAAAGATCACAATACGCTTCAGGCAGCAGCATCCATAGAAGAAGGCATTGCTGCCGGCAGCGGGATCTCGAACGCGTATAATGTAGACCTGACGTATGGGAAACCTCACGCGAGCAGTTAGGTACTCCAGATCCGCTTGCAGTGCTAGATTCTCGAGCGGCACACGTTTGCCAAGGAACGGATCAATGATGCACGGCACCAGCAAAATGACCACCACGGTCAGCATTACGGCAGCCGCATACAGACCCAGAAAGGCATACTGACCCAAAAACTGCACCATCAGTACCACCACGCTGACCAACAATGCCATCAACAGCAGCGAGCAGATGATGTCCAGTGTATCGCATAGAATGCGATGCAACCATCTCGGCTTGGATCGCTTTACCAGGCTGGTTATGCACCATCTCTCATAGATGTGACCCGGCAGAGATTTGATTGTGATGTAAATGCTAAGTAGGAACACATATATGATGGACAGGCACACCTCGTGCTGCATCCAATCCCAGATAACGCATTTGCCGGCGACGCGCCAAACGAACGCATAGAACCCAAAATACAATTCAAGGCAGCCGCATATGATGACCACAAAGAGCGTATTGACCATGATGAACCAGCTCTTGTGCAGCTTGTATTTGCGCATTTTGTTAAACAATTCCTGTGATAAATATGGACCCAGCACCTCCGGCACTTGGGGCACATCATAGACAATAAGGATCTGCAAGAGAGATTTTAGGGGCACAGTTTGGACTGGTTGGCACATGGCATATGGCATATGGCATATGGCATATGGATATGGCATTATTACCTCGCGCAGCAGCAGATACAGCGACCAGAGACTATCCGCGACCAGTACGGCTATAAGGATATAGAGTATAATGGCGGGATCGTGCCAGAAGGAGCCAGTCATTGTTTGTGCCCCCAACTTAAATTTGACATTTTAGCCAAATACATACGATATACATATTTTAGAATTTTTCATATACATTTTTGGTGTTCGTTTTCAAAGTCCTGGCTATCGCTTGCTTTATTGAAATCTACACAATATACAACTAAACAAGTGGCTACTACAATACGATACAATACGGAGCGAGAGTGAGAGAGTGTGTGAGAAGCTAAATGCTTTGGTCTAGAGACTTGAAAAGCCAGCTTGCTCTGGCATTTACTGCAACTTCTTCTGTGACTGGCCCAGCTCCTTGAGGCGTGCCAGACGCTGCAGCAGCGTGGGATGCGAATGATTCCAGGTGGAGTACAACCAATCATAGACAGGAAAGCCTAAATTGTCCAAGTTGAGCTTGATCAGTGCACGGCCCAGTTGATGCTCAAAGCCCAGCTTATGGGCAAATTCATCCGCCTGATATTCGTAGCGACGCGACAATATGGTCATCGCAAAGTTTATGATCGCATTATAGGGTGCCATCACATACGTGAAGACAATCAATAGACCGACGAGTATGGGCCGTGTGCCGGGCTGGAAGCCGAGTGCCTCGTAGAATGGTGCATACTTGAACAGATAGCCAAAGACGAGAAACATGAGCAACAGATGCACCTCCATAATGACAATATTCTTGGTGACATGTCCCAGCTTCCAGTGGCCCAGCTCGTGGCCCAACACTGCCAGCACTTCCTCATCTGTGCAGCCCTTGCCCTTCTCATCATCCGTCAGCTCCGAATCGTCGGCCTTGCCTTTGTTCAGCAACAACGTATCGAATAGCACAATACGCTTGGAGTTCCACAGGCCGTAGAAATAGGCATTGCTGTGCGAGGAACGTTTCGAGCCCTCGACCACATATAGCTTCGTTAGCGGAAACTTGAGTGATGCGGCCAAATCCTCAATTGACTTGCGCAGCGGGCCCTCCTCCAACGGCGTGTACTTGTCAAACAGCGGGGCAATGAAGATCGGATAAATGGTGAGCAGCACCAGCGATATGACGCCAGTGAAGACCCACAGCCAGATGAAGAAATTATCGCCGCCGCGTTGCACAATGAATATGATGGCCGCCGTAATGGGCAGCATAACCACTTGTGTGACCAGGAAGCCCTTCAGTTGATCCCAGGCAAAGAAACCTGCCGTTTGTTTATTGAAGCCATGCTTCTCCTCCAGTACAAAGATTTTGTACAGCTTGAACGGCAGCGATTTGAATGTGGACAACACATTCGAGATTAGGACAAAAACCAAACTGACGACTATCTCGTTGCTGGCGTCCCAGTGCAGACGATCGACCACATTCAACGACAGCTGCCAGATCAACGCAATCAGTCCCACATAGAGTTCCAAGCAGAGCAGCAGCACATCCATAAGCAGCGCCTTAAATATACCAAAGTTCTCCTGATCCAGGCCATATTTGCGCGCCTTATGGAACGTCTCCTCGCTCATGTGCGCCTTGAGCTCATTGGGCACAGTCAACGCACTGCGATAGACTTTCACCTGCGCGTCAGGGATAGGAAGAGGGAGAGTGCGACTCATTAACAACAATTGCTATGGCAATCAACGAACTTGGTTGACATTTAACGTGCCGCTAAATATATATACATATGTATATCAATACGTATGTATGTACGTGCACAGATGTATCATAAAATACAAGCAAACATTTATTGCCGCCTTTAAATACTGGCACGTGCCGGCATACGCCCATATTGACTCACCTGGCGTAAGGCTATATAGATTTCCAGTGCATTCTCAATGATGACCAATGCCAATATGCTGTACAGCACGGTGTCTGCTTCTAATGTGGACATTTTCACCTGAATTTCATAAAATTAATAAAGACGTATACTTCAACAACGCCGCACTCTACGGCTTGCACATAAAGCCTTTAAAAAAGTGTTGCAAAGCGTTCGAGTATCGATTGTACAGCAAAAGCATCGATTACTTTGAGCAAGCGCAGAAAGTTTTTCAAAAAAATTTTAATTTATTTGACTATTTTCGGATTAAAACAATTTTTTTTTAATTAAGACTAGCGTATTTGCACATTAAAACTCTCCACACTGGCATCGGCTATCTGCTTGTGCATCTCATTGACCTCAGCCTGCGTCATAGTGCGCTCCATATGTCGATAGACAATCCGAAAGCATACGCTGGATTTGCCCGTCTTTGGATGCTTGAATTTGTCCACCAGGCGTATCTAGAAATTCAAAAAAAAATAACTAGCTATTATGTGCATATGTGCTTTTGCTAACATGACACGCACCTGTTCCACGACATCCCCAGCTACCGAGCGCACCAGGTCATAGAAATCGTTGGGTGAGAAGCCAGCATCGACCTCCACATCGGGCGGCAGCCAGAAGGATAAATCGTTTGTACATTGCGGATAATGTGAGATGGCTTTGTACTTGGGCTGGTTTTGCAGATCCTGCTCACTGAACTGTGATAGGAATCCACTGTCATTGGACCAAAACAGTCGAATGTCTGGTATATCGAATAGTATCATGGCCAGGCGCTCCAGACCCACGCCAAAAGCATAACCAATCGACTGATGCACGCCCGCCTGCTGCAGTATCTCGTGGCGCATAATGCCGCAGCCGAGCACCTCCAGCCAGTTGTCCTTGAAGTATATTTCCAGTTCCCAAGATGGCTGTGTAAAGGGAAAATATGTGTCCACCCAGCGATACTTGATACGCGGACCAAATAGCTCCTTGGTCAGGCCAACCAGCACATGCTTCATCTCGTGCTCCATTAGCTTGACGGCCTCGAGGGTGTGGCAGGGCTGTTTAGTCTGGTCCATGCACTTGGATGAGGATAAAATGCGCTTTGGATCTGCGAGCGAACCGCTCCACGTCTCCTCGAACAGTTCCAGGCCAGGATTGCGCTCGAAGAGCTTATCTTTGGTGACCAGACGCACTGCGTCCGCCTGATGGAACACCGGATAATGTGTGCTATCGATCTCATCGCGCCTGTAGACCTCACCAACAACCAGAAAGTTGTCCAATCCACCAGATATCAATTGCACCTGATGTGCTGTCGTGTGGGCGCGCAACAAGTGCTCCCGATTGATATAATAACAGTCCGATTTCTGGCGACTCACATGATCGCTGGGTATAAGCAGATTATCAAAGTTCTGCTGCACCGTCACCACCGGATTGAGTTGGTCATAGACGGAAAATAGTGGATTTCCGCGCTGATTGCGATAGGCGCCATAGAAATAATTGACAATGCGCTGGCGCATTATCGACAACGGATGATCCCGCTGCAGATGCTTATTGAGTCCCAGGTGCGACAAAATCTTTGGTGTCACATTCGTCCAGCTGTCCGTGGCGTACGTGCCACCATTGATTTCCAATTGCAACGGCTGCTGGGGCGTCGTTACTTTCTTGGCCTCCTCGGCGGCACTGCTGGCCAACAAGCGACGGCGCTGTTGGCCCGTAATGCCCAAACACAGACGCGAGCCGTGCACACGCAGCGTCAATAGCATTTTCTATGTTGTTTTTTATTTACTAAATGGCCAAATATTGCATTATATGTATTATAAAACAACAGCTGCTTCTATTGTAACGATAGTATCGATATGCGTGCACCCAAAATGTATCGATGTAACATCGGTACCACTTACCAGGGCTGCCAACTAATTTACAATTACAGTCGATAATCGGCGCCTATCATCGCAAATTTAAACTAATTCTAATGTATTCGTATATTCAAACTGGCTCTCACATCAAAAATATCTCTAGGCTCGGTTAACGTTGCACTCTATTGTCTAGCCGTTAGGTTCAGTTTGTGAGCCTGACTTTCTCTCAGGCTATGGTTCCAGACTTCAGTCGTTTGTTTTGATTATTTTTCATGCCGATACTTAAAAACAATTGAGTTATTTTTAAAAATATTTTTTTTATTATTTTGTACAAAACATCAACATTGTAATATGCCTAATTTGTATTCACTTTTAATGGCAAATCATATAAAAAATGCGATGATGAGTTTTACAGATCGTAACATATGCTCATTAAATTATAAGTTTACTTTTGAGATGCTCGCTTCGGAATATAGAGGTGCTTCTCTGTGATTAAATAAATGAGGTTGAGCGGTGGTGCATATATATTGTTCTAGACCAGTGGATAGCTGGAGGCTGAGGCAATGCCGCACTGATTGTCTGCATTGCGCGCCATCTTGATGAAGCCCTTGTCGCCCCAGGTGGTACCCCACGAGTTCTTGACCAGCCAATAGTCCTGGCCACTCTCATCGGTGCCATAGCCCACGACGAGCACACCATGATCCAGATTTTGTGGATCACACTGTGGCTCATTGTAGATGCCCTCGGAGTAGAACTGGAAGGACTCGTGAGAGGCATCAATCGCAACCGAAACGGGTCCAATGGTGGCCACAGCCTCAGCCATCTTTTTCTCATCACCCTGGGGTATATCAACGGAGCCGCGATCCGTGGCGCCAATGGTGGCCTTGTTGAAATGGCAGGAATCATCAATGCCCTCATATGGATACGATTTCTCGGTATCGATACCACCATTATCCTTGATATAACGGAAGGCATTGTCCATCAGACCACCATTGCAGCCATTGTTGCCGTACTTGGTGGAGCAATCGACCAGGTTCTGCTCGGAGAGCGAGATCAATGTGCCTGCCTTACGGAAATGCTGACCCTCCAGAGCGCCGGTGCTGGAGAAGGCCCAACAGCTGCCGCAATGTCCCTGATCCTTGACCTCGGTAACAGCGCCCTTGCTGCGCCAATCCACAGATTTGGGTATCTTGACATGCTCCGGCGAGATGAACGTCACGCCCACAAAGCTGGGATCAGATGCACTATAAGGATACAAGATTCAATATAAGAACTGGTGTTGTATGGCTTGAATAAGGGAGGCTCATGCTCACCGCAGCTGCTTGTGCAGCGTGTAGTTGAAGCCATTCATTGTCGTATGGAACTCATGATGCAGCATATCCGCGTATTTGTTAACGGCCATCTTGAAGCTAACTTCGCCGGAGGCATAGCGCTGATTGTGCTTGGCAATCTTGTGTTTGTTCTCATTGAAAATCTTCAGGCGGAAACGCTCCTCGGTCTCATCCACATAATTCTTGCGATGCTCCAGCTGCAATGGAAGAGAGCGTACGTATAAGTATTTATGTATATAGACATGTCTATATGCCACTCACGACGACTTGTGCTTATCAGCGTATGTGTTTCGACTGTGTTATCAGGACTTGTTATTAGCATTGTACCTACTCTCCACGGGCAGCGATTAGATAGCTCCACGGCTACGCCAGCGAATGCACATGCCCAGCCCACAACAGTTCAGGGGCGGGCGAAGTTCACATTTACCTAATGTTTGCGCTCAAAGCGAAGCATCGACTTCGATTCCGATTCGGATTCGGATTCGAATTTAAATTTATTGCTCTTAAGCATCTAATAAGATAAGCCGTGACACCTCTTATCGGGGCCCAGAAACAAAAAGGTGGCAACAGCTAAAACCCAGTAGGCCCATAAAACTAGCCATAAACATGTTTACGAGCCTGTTAATAATTTGGGTAAAAGTTGTAAAAAAAAAAAACAGGATAGTAAAAAAACAGGTAACTGAGCCGAACGAACCTGACTAGGAAATACCCTGTAACCAAAATTTATATATATATATAGTCATCTACATCGATGCGCTTCTTCTTACCCCTAATCCAGAAACTATAAAGAGCCGCCTCATTCTCAAATGACCTCCGCGTCTATTAACTGATTGTTATGAAATTTTCAGGTGTTAAATATGTCATTTAAATGCCAAACGTGTTCTTCATTTGCTTCACTGCAATATACCCATCAATTTGCCATGGTTACAGAGTATCAATGGAATGACAAACATTCATTTGGTACAGTAAAAATTCACCAAGTGCTGTCAAACAAACTGGTCAGCCCACATAAAGTCTAATTACAAGAGGCAAAGCAGTAATTGACGCCCTGACCGGATGACGATGACGATGACGATGATGATGATGACGATGATGATGATGACGATGATGATGATGATGATGGCTGTTCTGCTGATGATAATAATTGTTGTTGTTGTTGCTGGATGACTTGCTCCGATAGGCGCCCAGTCATCTGGAGTGTTAGTGCGGTTCTCGTTCCTGCATATAATTGCCATAATTCAGCTGCCCCAGCAGCAACTTGTAGCGCCTGCAGTGGCGGGAGGAGCAGGTAGGGGGGTCATTCGTGAAGAAGTAGAGAAAAACCCGGCCCGTACTTTATTGATTTTTCGCATTTGGAAATAAAATTTTTGTACGTTTATTTAAAAAATTTACACATTTTCAAAAAAAAGGCGTCGCCCTGGCTCCGTAAAAAGTTAATAAACAAAACGTAGGAACAGTAATTAAATGCACATGCGCTTAAAGCTACAAATATATATATAAATGTAGACTTAAGTCTGAATATACAGCTTTTTTATTGATTCGTTGACTGAATAGTTGTTTTTTTTTTTCATTTTAATGCTGCTAGTTTAGTTTTTGTTTGGCTTGCACTGCGTTTTGTTTGTTTGTTTTTTCTTGTTACTTTTCAATTTGTCAATAGATTTTCTGTTAATACAGCAAATGCCACACATGACGCTGAGTATCCGTTAAGACTATTTTTGTACTAAATTTAAATTTAACGCTAAGGCAACACTGGCGCACCGCTACAGTCGCTCCATTTCAATGGTGCAGCAGCTGTCATCAGCTGCTGCGCTGTTTGTCGCAGCAGCGGGCGCTGCTACTGCGGCCGCTGAAGTTGTGGGCTCATCGTATGCAGCACCACATGCGTCTGCCGCCTTTTGCTCGGCCAAATTTGCATATTCGCGCCGTTTACGCAGTATGTATAGCAGCACAAAACAGTTGATAACACATAATGCTATTATGAACACCACGGGCACCACAACATCGACAATAGTATCCAAATCACTTGGGGAATCGGCCATTTCTGTTTTATGTGCTTTATATAATTTTGCTTGATTAAGCCGTTTTCTTATTTGTTCTTTCTTGCTAGCTTTAACACGTTTTTCTGAATGACGCGCGTGCTTTCCTTTAATGTCTTACGGTTTCCTCACAATCTCTTCTCTCTCTTTTGCTCACACAAGTTTTGATTTTGGCGCGCGCGCACTCTTTCTCTCTCTCTCTCTCTCTCTCTTTCTCACTCTCTTGTTGGTTCTCCGCTCGCCGGTCGCAGCCAGTGTTGCGTCTGTTTGCTTTGAACGTCGGGTGGGTAATATCAAAAGTAGCAGTCTGCCCGCTTGGTTCGGCGCGCGACGTATACACACACACATGACAGCACCAAAAAAAGAACACACACATACACACATGCATATGCACGAATTGTGTATAGCAAATGCTATTTGTGTATGCTTTTAAGTATGCATGCAGGAATCGAAACCGTTTCGCATGAAGCGACCGGTTTATTTTTAATCTCTTTCGTATAAGAGCAATGATTTATTAGGACTTGTGCATGCATATGTACACATGTATACATATGCAAAATGTGAACCGGTTATAGCATGCCAATATCCACAAACACGCACACAAAGCCCAAGAGTAATCGCCCACTTGTTAATTCCATTTCGCCTATTTTCGTGCAGTTTGCTAAACTCAAAAAAAAAAAAAAAAAAAACAACAAAAAGCCCGCGAGCTTTTCGTCCCACAACAACATAGCGAAAACAAGCATTAACCCAAGTGATAAGCCCCACAGCAAGTCGCACGCCATTTCAGAGAATTCTGACGCTGTTCAACTTTATTATTGTTTTTTTTTTTTTTTTGCCATTTGCGCATAAATTGAGATGATGTTCATTGAATGGAAAAAAAAAATGAAAACAATTTTGATTGACAGTGTTTGAGGGGGGGCCGCCTTTCACACGCTTATCGCAATACATTCGGATCAAAAGTCATCTCTGCCTGGCGTTCGTTTTGTGTATTCCACTTCGTTCGGAATGTGCAAACCTCAATAAACACAATTAGCTTACAATAAATTTGCATATGTGTTAGTGAACATTAAACTCCTGGCCCGAAATGTACACAGATTGCAATTTGTCTATCGAAAGCGCTGGCCAATCAGCGACGTGTGCAAAAGAAACGAATTTCGAATGCGCCTGTCGCTTATGCTACTCCTTTTTTGAGTGCGCAGCAAATTTTGTGTTGCGCGCAAAAGTAGGCAACACTTTGTGTAGCTCATTTTAAAGTTGGGCCGTTACGAATTTAAAATTGAAAAAAGATGTCATTTTTTTATATTAAGCAGATAGATATAAATATAAATAAAATTGCAAAAGGGAAGTCAAACGAATCCTTTGTAAGCCATGTTTTCTTTGAATTTTTGTGCGCGTTGTTGATTTATGATTTAAATAAGACGCATTACAAATGCATCGACTATTTAAATGTAATTTGCAACTAGTCCAGTTTAGTCAATTTAGTCTAGACAAAGCTGGAAACCTTTGAAGCGTTCCATTCCCGATAAGAGTCGAACCACGTACATATAGCTAACAATAGCTGATAAGCTGCTAAATAATAATAGAGAGTTCAAAGCGCTCTACGCCGTAAACTAGCGCAGGCAGAGACAAAGAACCAAAGAGCTGGCCAAGTGGCCACAAATCAAACAGCATTAATAACAAATTAATCATGCATGGTAAATAAATAAACAAATCCCAATCAGACAGAAGAGGGCAATTGCTTAGGAATTGTATGCGAATCGCTTATCTGTTGTGAACTCGGCCGCCTGACACAAGCTGGAACGCGGTCTTATCACTGAAGCTGTGCCGCATAACGGTACAACAAAGCCGACGCATCGCCTCTATCAGGAACTCATGTGACAGAATTCTAGATAGATCGGCATCGAGCCGCGAGTCATGTGAGCCGGCATGTGACTGGCTTTTAATCAGCTTAGCTGCAACATATGCTGCTTGTAACAACAACAACAAGAACAACAACGACAAGAGCAAGAAATATTTTTGAGTAATGACTCAGCGCTCAGATATGCATCAAAAGCTTGAAACAATGGCTTCAATAACTAAATTAAGAAAGGCATTAATCATGCAACCTGCATTTGACACCTGCCACAAAACAGTTGGTTCGCAATTCGAGTCGTCGTCCCCTCCTCCCCATTCTTTGGTTCTATCTCCCGCGCATTACTCACCTTGAAGGTCTGCCACTCCTCCTTGATAACATCGGCATAGGAAACGGCCTGCGCCACAGCCACCAGGGCCAATAGAGCGAACAAAATGCGCATTTTAGCTAGAATTACAAACAGATAAACAATTAAACAATTGAAAATAACATACAAAATATTAATTAAGCCGAGCTTTAATTAGCTTAGAGCTTAACGACAGCTTGTCACGTGATGAGCTTTTAACAGACGACTTAGAGAGGAGAAAAAAAAAGGCTTAAAAGTGACTTAGTCACTGTTACTGAAAGTTAACTTGATCTCGTGACTTCTTCAAACAAATCAACTATTTCCATTTTGAATTTTCGTAATTGTTTATAAAATAAGTTAAAAAACAATTCAAACATTAAATCAAAAAACTCATTTATAAATACGTATAATTCAGAAGTGACTAGAAAGTAACGATTTCGATCATATCTTGGCCCACACACAAAAAGCACAAACAAGCTTCTCAGCTTTTGTTGTTGTACCGAAAAAGCTGAATTTCATCAGCAGCAGCAAAAACAATAACAGTAAATAACAAAGCATCGCAATGTTAAGTTTGCAGTGTTAGCGATTTATGTAGATAACATGAGCCATATACATGACCAATGGAACAGATGCGACCGACGCCAGTGGGCGGATATGCCAACAAAGCAGATAAACAAAAAAAAGAAAAAACAAAATACCGAAAAATTTGAGTGCAATGCGAATGCACAGTTTAGTTTTTGCTTCGAATTCGAAAAGCTTCGGTCGTTATCTGATCGGGCATTCGCCTTGTGTTTGTTGTTTTTCTTTTTGCCTCCACTCTATGCTCTTGTGGCTGCCGTTAGTTTTACAGGGTATTGATTAACGTATTTGTTACAGCAACATCACAATAATTGCGCCAAGTGCGAGGGTTAAAACAGGTTTTGCAACTCATGGGCAAGGTGAATCAGCAGACGCACACACTTGCATATAAATAAAAAATAGAGTATGGAAAGCAAGCAAAAATCGTATTGATAAGACAAACAGAAAAATAGGCCAAAGCCAAAGAGTGAAGCAACAGCTGAAAACGAAATGCGCAGAAACAGCAGCAGCAAGAAATGGCGGCGAGCGCAATAAACAAAGACGCCAAAGGGACAAGTAAATAAGAGACGAATAGATAGGGAAATAGAATAGAAAAAGCGATGCTGCTGGAACGTGTGAGAAAGTGGCAGAGAGGGGAAAACGCAGACAATGGCGACTAAACATTAAAATACATGACATGCATGGACTTAACTAATAAACAGTTAAGTATTCCAATGCGGACATGAAAATGCGTTGTGAGTATGCGGAAATTAAATTCTTACCTTTTGAACTGAATAACAACACTTTGCAACTTATTGCGTTCTAACTTTAACGTTTCGAGCAGCTACTACTTTAAAATTGAATTAAATTAGTACTTTTTCCTTTTATTTAATTATTAGCTATTAGCTTTTGCCTAAGCACCTCACTCGAACACTTTTCGGTTTAAAATAAATCCATCAGCGAATTGTTGTTGCCAAGAAATCTTAAATATATGTATGTAACTCTTTTTCATATATGGTCATACTGGCACTTCCAAGTAAGCTTGCCACACTGTCAATAGGCTGCCACTTGGGTAAAGTTAAATGTACCATTATATTAATAAATGTCATTGCATTAAGTTGAAAATACCGAATTTATTAGATTGTTCAGGTGTAGTTGTAAAATTGAGCAGGATTCAGTTTTTTATATTGTTTAAATAAAGTATTAATTATACCAGAGTGGCAGCCTCGACTGCACATTAAAAGAATGTTATGCTCATAAGAGCTGTTCGGAGCAGAAACTGTAAATGTTAACACAATATATTTATTGGCAGCACTAAAACGCTTGTTATCGAATTGCGTCCCATCACTAGTTCAAAGTGTCAAAAATTGCTCGTCATCCGCAGAGTAGGCGATTTTTATTTGAAGGATTCCCAAATTGTATTTATTTAACACATTATATATCCAGTAAGTGCGTGTGTTGCGCATTGCCTGAGTTCCCGTCATAACCTTCAACCAAATTGCAGCTCTCGAGAAGCGCCCGCATCATGTTTGGCAGACAAAGCGGTTTGGGCAGTTCCAACAGCTCCAACCTTGTAGAGTTCCGTGCGGGTCGCATGAACATGGTTGGCAAAATGGTGCATCCGGATACACGCAAGGGTCTCGTCTATATGACCCAGAGCGATGATGGACTAATGCACTTCTGCTGGAAAGATCGCACCAGCGGCAAGGTCGAGGACGATCTAATTGTATTCCCCGACGACTTTGAGTACACGCGCGTTGATCAGTGCAAATCGGGACGGATTTATGTTCTTAAATTCAAGTCCAGTTCGCGTCGCATGTTCTTCTGGATGCAGGAGCCCAAGACGGACAAAGACGACGAGCACTGCCGCCGCATCAACGAGCTGCTCAACAATCCACCCTCGGCGCACCAGCGCGGCGGCGGCGGCAGCGGCAGCGAGGGCACCGACCTCCAGTACATGCTGAACAACATGTCGCAGCAGCAGCTGATGCAGCTCTTTGGCGGCGTTGGCCAAATGGGCGGCCTCAGCTCCTTGCTGGGACAAATGAAGTGAGTAAAATCTTCACCCAAACCCTCTCACTTCAATAGATATTCAAAGCATTATATAACCCGAAGTTAAACAAGATTTGAGCCCATCAATCTAATCCTCGTATTCCTTGTCCATTTACAGTTCGCGCACGCCTTCGTCCCGCAACACAGCCGCTTCAAGCGGCGGCAGTGCTGGCAGCGCCGCATTGCAAACGCCGGAAAATGTGAGCGTGCCACGCACAGCGTCCGCGCCCAGCAAGCCGAACAAGTCGGGCAACAGTCGGAGCAGCAGCAGCGCCGGCGCCGGCGGCGTCACCAGTTTGCAGAGCGATGCGGCCGGCGGCGCAAGTTTGGCCGTTGATGCGGATGCCTCCGGTAAGAAAACGACAAATGCGACAACAGCAGCAACAAGTGGAGCATATGCGAATCCATTCCAAGCCTATTTATCCAATCTCTCCCCTGAACATGGCGCAGGTCGTTCACTGAATATCGACCTGTCGACGGCGCTGTCTGGCGCTGAGGCGATTAATCAGCTAATTTCGGATCCGGAGCGCGTCAAATCGTTAATTGTCCACTTGCCGGAATCGGAAGATGCCGATGAGGATCGCAAGCAACAGATCAAGGATCACATCAGCTCGCCCCAATTCCAGCAGGCCCTTGCCCAATTCTCCAATGCCCTACAATCGGCCCAGCTTGGACCCGTGGTCAAGCAATTCGAGCTGTCCCACGAGGCAGTCTCTGCCGCCTATTCGGGCAATCTCGAAGAGTTTGTCCGTGCCCTGGAGAAGAGTCTGCCGGCGGGCGCTACTATGGCGGGCGATGAAGCTGACCCCAACGCCGCCAAGGACACGCCCGTGGCCGACAAGAAAACCGAAGCGGAGCCCGCCAAGGAGGAGAGCGCCGCCGCTGCAGATAAGCCGGATGAGAAGCAGAAATAGCGCGCACATATTTTATATAGCCCAGCATATAATCCCAAATATTAATTAATCCCAATTTAATGAACGCGTTCGAAACAGCCCATCATATTATTACTTTTGCACATTTATCCAAGTTTTCGATTCAAAAATAAATTGGCCATGCAAATGTTGGTATGTATGTATTAATGCTGCTCAACTATGTCTGTGTTAGTTAAGTACAGTGAAAACTCTTATCTGTGGCCAATGTAAGTTTAACAGTTGTCCGTCCGAGAGAGATGCTGCATAGGAGAGTAAGTACAGTGAATGCCCTTTCGAGCGAACAGTCATGATTACACTTAAGGTACATCTCACATGTCCGTCCATCGGTTGAGCCTTCACTGTACATATGCACACTACTACTTGTCCGATTAAAGTTATAGCTAAAATCCATAATTTTAGAAAACATAAAATTGATCTTAATAATTTTCTAGTTTTTGAATCCAATTGAATTATGAGTGCAAATTTAGGCTATAATGAAAATTCGTGCGTTAATTGAGTGTTTACTGTATGTACATTAAAGCGACAAGTGCTGTCAGGCTGTTGCTAGAAAGAACCGTTACATGAAAGTTGCCCTTGACTCGCGAGTGTTATGATTTTGTCGCACATACGCATACAAATTGTACGCACTGTTTTGGTCTCTCTCTCTCTCTCGCTCGCTCTCTCCTACTCTGCTGTTGGTTTCGCTCACGCGCCGCCGCTCTCGGCAAGCACACACAGATACACACAAACACAATGAAGAGTGCATGGTTTGCGAATACTTGGAGCAGATATGTGTATTTATTCAACTTCAAACGGGCAAACCGCGCGTTCGCTAAGTCGCTTGATTTTGATTTCGTATTTTGATCTCGAAAATAACACAAAACAATAATCGGCCATAGCCAAAGGCTAAACGCGTTCGATTAACTGTGTAATTTCCTGTGCGGGGGCATTTCGAAAATAAATAAAACAGCGAAATTCTGTTGCTGTTTTGCGTCGTAAGTTGTTGTTTTTGTTGCTGCTTTCATTTTGCAGCAAGCTGCTGCTGCTGCTGCCACACACACATACATACATATGTGTGTGTATGTATTTCAATACGCGTGTACGTTGTGTTTTTTTTTTTAATGCATGACTGCGCGCCGCATTGTTGAGAAAAGCTTTTTCCTCAACTGTATGGCATAAAAGTTAGCGCGTCGCCGCAATAACAAATACAAAAAGAAAAAAACAAGCGAAGAAAAAAAGAAATAACAACAATTAGCAGCAGCGGCAGAGCGGTTAGCCAGCTGCGCTGGTGTTGGTAAGCAGAAACGAGCGACCGTCGTTGTCGTTTCGCACACACAAAATCGTTGCCTCGCTCGCACACACGCGCACACATGCATATGCACATAAAAGCTTGCAAAAAAAAAAGTATATAAAAAACGTCAGCGGCTACAAAATTGTTGTTAAGACAAATAAACAACAACAAAAAAATGAAAAGAAATTCGCAAGTTTGTTGCCATAGTGTGAGTGTGTGCGTGTGTGTGAGTGCGAGAGAGAGACAGAGCCGTCAAACTGCAGAGAGCAAAAATTACTTTATCCCGGTAACGATCTGGCAACACCAACAACAAAAACAGCAGCAGCAAAAGAAATTGCGTTGCGGCAATGGCAACAATTTTCAGCAATAAGCTCTGAAATAATCGAGTTAATAATTTTTCAATCGATACAGCAACAACAAATAAAACGGGGCAATTAAAAGAATTAACAATTATACAAATAGCAACAGCCAACGGCCGTTAGTGAAGTTCACAACCCAAACGGAGCGCAAATAATCAAAACTCTTTTTTAATGTGTAACAAATTTGGAAAAATCACTCAACGAACACCAACAGCAACAGGAAATCGAAAAAAATCGCCAACAACGATAAAACAACAAATTGAACAGCCGCGAACGACTTGTCGCTGATAGGCAAATCCATAAAGCGCCGCATCAGCTGCAATTGTGCGATAAGGTGAGCGCAAACATGGGTTCTGTTAGTGTATGTGTGTGTGTGGTGTGTGTGTGGTGTGTGTGTGCATTTGTTTTAGGGTGGGGGGTGGCAACGCCAAGAGCCTCGACTTCGCTTGCATGTTCCAGAACAGCTGCAGAAATTTCTGCACGCCCACGCGACTGCAGCTCGCGCGCCATTTTATCTAAAAGTTGCTCAAGGAAGTTTTTTTTTTGAGCCATAACAACACACACACATACACACACCCACACGCACATACATATAAAAGCATACAATTATATGTACTGCCTGCATATGTATGTGCATTATGTTGTAATGGCGCCTGAGCATATGCTATGTCAATTTGCAAGAGCGGGCGATGTGCGAGCGAGACAACCATCTGTGTTGAGAGAGGCAGCTTGTGTTTATGTTTTGGTAGAAAGGTCACACGGGCAATTTCTTCGTTTTAGCTATTGCCGCACAGGCATGTGCAAGTGCTGTAATGGATGTAACTGTGTGTGTGTGTGTGTGTGTACTTGAACATGCTTTGTATTCCAATAAAATTGATTGAAGGACACACATTGCCAAAAGTGCGCTTGTATAGGTATCTATTGCCTTTAACTGTACATGAATGGGGTTGCCACTTGTTATATGGACACTTTCACTGGCAGCCCCAACCACAAGTCTGGCGCTATTTCGTTGGGTTATGCAAACAGCCTCAAACTTCAATTTGATGATGGCAACGTCGAAGTGGTGGGGGTGTGGGGCAAGACAATTTTCAATATGGCCGACGTGGCTAAACCCACGCAATATTTGACAAATAATATTGAAGCACTCATGAAAACGAAGTGAGGAGCTTTTTCAGCTTCTAGTCTGACATTGAACTTGAATGACGACATTGTCTACATACATACATATATATGTGTATGTATATAAAACACAAGTTATCAAAGCTGCACACAAGCACACACACACACACACACACACACACACACACACATACAACTATACATGTGTAAGCATGTATGCTTTAACCGTTATAAAAGTGTGTGCTGTAACAGCTTTCACCAAATTTGCAGACTGCATCTCAACAGTTTGTTGTTTTTATCTGCAGCAATTTGAATCGATATGCATTGCTTTTGCACTCGTCGCACACGCACACACACACGCACACACATTTCGCCCGCCATTTTAAAAGTTCAACTCGAAGCTTTGTATTTTGCATACGCGAGCGGCAACTGCATTTTTGGAGGGGGCGGCGGGCGCTTGAATTTTCAGTTAGCCACTCACACCGCTATACTCCCCCCCACTCTCTCACTCTATCGGTGTTTGTGTGTGTGTGCGAAAAGGAAAAGGCAAACAGCAAAACGAAAGTGAAATTTTGTGTTTTTCTTCGTGTTGCGTCTTCTTGTTTGGCTCTGCTCTATTTATCGCAAGGCAAACACCTGTTTAACCCTTAGGCACTGCCACACTATTTATTACATACATATGTATGTGTATGTATGTATTTAAGGGCATTTATCGAAAAGCTTCACACTGCCAGTGTGACCAGTTCCAAGTTCCTGCATGACCTCCTTGTTCCAAGCCCAATTATATGCGTTACCAATTACGTGTTGCAGTCGTTGCAATTATGTAGCTGTGCCCTGTGCCCCGCCCCCACATCTCCTCCCTAGACAGACGCAATCAATGCAATTATAAGGCTGTGTCTCTCGAGTCCCCCCTCCCACCATGCCGCCCCAGCCTATGACACAGCTTATTTCGGCTGACTGCAACCAAAGCAGATGATTTTCCGGTTTGCCAAAGCAAAAGTTGCAACAAACAAAAAACAAAATAAGAGAAAGCCGCTTTCTTCATATGCTGAACTCTAGATACCCTTACAGGCCTGGAATCCTTCATATAACAAATTCAATTTCAGAAATTATAATATACCAGAATATATACGTCGGAATTTTCTAGTTTTGGCCCTTAACCTACAATTTTGGAGTTCCAGAGAATCCAATAGAAATCGGGCTAAAGAAATCCTTGAGTTAAAATATAATTATAATTTCTAGTTTCTTGAACTTAAATCAGCAATGTGGATAAGCCGTTGCCAAAAGATTAAGAGTCCAATATTTATCAATACGTTTGGGCTGGGATATACATTAAAAAGAAACAAAAATAATTGTGTATATTATGAAGATCGAATTTTTCTGTATTTGTTGCCATGTCAATGACAGAAACTGATCATTTTCGGGACTAAGCATGTAGCCTGTTGGTACTGAATAATATTTTTATGTTATAAACACTTTGCTTATAAAGGATCTATATGATATAATAGATTGCTACCTTCAAGTTACTCCTTAGAAGAAACCAGAACATATACTAAGAAACCGAAAGACAGTATGTAAGTTGGATAAATAATTTAGATACTTTATGGCCTGTCGCCTTCAGTGCGTCACACATTTGCTGACAAACTTCCAATGTCCGTTGGTAGCGTATGAAAAGGATGCCCCAAACTGGTTTTTCGGCAGGCCACAGGCACAGCCAAGTAGCCGCATCGCTGGGCCCCATCGCCTCTGCCCTTTTGGGTCAGTCGTGCAGAGAAAAGACAATGGAGTGGAGTGTTTTACATGTTAAAGCTTAAGTTTTTAATGCTGGTTCAGAAATCAACGGGCTTGATGGTGATAAAGCGCGATAGTATAAATGCCACCAGAACGGTGGCACAGACAAAACAGAAGGCGAACGTGTAGAAGCTCTCCTCCGTAAAGATATCGGTGAAAGCGGGTATGTCCTGATAGATCTGTTCAATGACGGCCAGAGTGCCCCTGTGTTTCCGCACCATGATGACGGGCAGCAAGTGCGAGTCGCGCGCTTATCGTGTGGTATCTAGTTACTTCTTTTTGATCACCTTTTTGCCACCGCCGCCCAATTTCTGTTTCTCTGCCTTCGTCAGCACCTTGTTGGCAACTTCCTCGGGCGGGGCTAATGCGGACACGTGCTTGTTGCACAGCTGCAGCAGTTCCAGGGTATTCAGATTTTCGCTATTGAAGCGAATCTCCTTGACTTTGGCCTTCTCTGCAAGAGTTGGACAAATGTGTTATTGGAACAGCAAGAGATTGGCTTGCTTAATACCCTACCTTGCGCCGAGTCGATTAGCGCAAATTTAATTAACGCTGGCGAACGATCGCAGACAATGTCCGGCTTGACAAC